TCGCTCCCGCTCGCCAACAATGTTCAACATTTCCACTAGTTGGCGAGCGGGAGCGAGCTAACCTAGTGGTACGAACGGCGCGGATTTTCTATATTTATCTACGACCGTACGTCGTCCAACTGCGCATGCTCCAGGATTACGCGCTTCTTTTTATCCGAAAGGATTTTAAAATTTCACATGCTGCCTGCCTGTGATGATGTCTTGTGTATACATGTTGTGCATATAGTCTGGGGAAGATGCCCGTCGTCGTCGAAGTGAGTGGGAAAGAGAACATCGTGCCCGTGAGACTCCTGAGCAGAGAGGCTCGTCTGTATCAGCGTCACTTTCATGATGTGGAAGGCGCAAATTTTTACACGCTGGTGACGCTGCCTAGCTGTCATATCGACGGGAAATATAGCCAAATCAAAGAACTCTCGTCTATTTGCTGGCATTCGCTGCGCTCTTCGATACCTGACCGAGGCTGTCTATACTTCCTTCCAATCTTTGTGATTCGCTCGTGCAGATAGAGTCATTGTGTGCTCGCTCCCGCTCGCCAAAAATGCCATGCATTCGCCTACTAGTATATATAAATTATAATTATATACGATCTACGACGCACTGTCGTCTTAGTGCGCATGCGTTAATGTTACGCGCTAATTTTTTCATCAATCCTCTTATATACAGTCCGTCCAATTGTCATCCGCGGATGATATATAGTGTTCTTCTTCGAAGAAAAACAGACAGAGAATCCTGTCTTCGGCTCGAATTTTCTATCTATGTATGCCCGGCCGTCGAAAGTCCTCACGACAGAGAGGCTCGTCTTTTTCAGGGACGATTACGAGATGGAGAGCGGGCAAGGCAACGTTACTGCTTCTCGTACAAGAGGTAGACAGACAGAACGCCCGGCCGTGCGAAAGTCTTCACGACAGAGAGGCTCGTCTTTTTCAGGGACCATTACGAGATCTTGAGCGGGCAAGGCAACGTTACTGCTTCTGTTCCAAGAGGCAGACAGACAGAACGCCCGGCCGTCGAAAGTCCTCACGACAGAGAGGCTCGTCTTTTCAGCGACGATTAAGAGATGGAGAGGGGGACTTTCTTCTGGTCTAGCTACGTATGCGCAAGCTGCCTTACACAACCTAATATGACAACACCATAATAACTTGCTGTTACTTGCTGAAACATTTTACCTGTAGGTATATAAAGTAAGCCACCGATAATCGGACGCCATGTATTCTCGGACGCATTTGTGAAGTCTGTGGAGGACTAGATTGGCTACTGTTTATACTAAAGTGCAATTCTTCGTCATAAACTGTTGTATAAAAATATTCGTTCTTATCCGAGCTTTACCGTGGGAATGACGTTGCCGTAAAGTTACGATTCGGGCACAGCAAAGTTCGGACAAGGCCATCAAAGGTAGGACAGTCTCCCAAAACGGGAACAGTATGAATGATCCAAGCGAGTGTATGCTCGATTGATAGCTGTACCTTTTGGCTATGCAGCGACCCACAAATGGCCCTTTTTAGTCTTCGCTATTTTTGCTCACGAAAGCGCAAATAGGCGGGGTCGCGTAAGCCGCGTTTTACGCGAAAAGCAGTTGGTTTCTTCTAACACACGCGCCGGATGAAGCTATAAAATTTTCTCAAGAAGAACGAGGAGAACATTTTATAGCTTCATCCGGCGCGTGTGTTACAATAAACAAGCCGAAAACTGCTTTTCGCGTAAAACGCGGCTTACGCGACCCCGCCTATTTGCGCTTTCGTGAGCAAAAATAGCGAAGACAAAAAAGGGCCATTTGTGGGTCGCTGCATAGCCAAAAGGTACAGCTATCAATCGAGCATACACTCGCTTGGATCATGGTCCTAGCGTATTTGCAGCTTGGAACCATGAAGATTGGGAAGAGGTATATACAGCCTCGGTCAGTCACCGAAGGTTGCAGAGCATGCCGTGGAATGGAGGAGAGTTCTCCCGCTGGCTCGATCGATCGGTGCATATCGCGAGGCACTGTGTGTGAAATTGTGTAAAAATTTGGAAATAACTTCGGATAAAAAGAAGCGCGTACAAAGCCGTGCATGCGCACTTATACGACGTACGGTCGGTCGTATATTAATTATAATTATATAGAAAATTCCGCTCGAACGAACGACTAGGTTGGCTCGCTCCCTCTCGCCAATTATCGCTAGTAATGATGATGGTTGTATATTATACTTGAGTTCTCGCTCCGTTCGCCCAAAGAATGCCAAGCATTTCCACTAGTATTTATATATAGGTGGCCAATAAATAAAATTGGAGGAACATAGCAGAACAGTAAAGAGATCTCAAAGAAGGGACAAAATGTGAATCCGACAGATAGGAGCCAACTACTGTTTTATACTAATAATTATGGTGAAGCATTTTATTATGTCACACCCTCGGCGCGCATGCGCAGCGAGGGTTACAGTAGTTGGGTTTGTCTGTCAGTCTGTCTGTTACTCTTCATCTCACTTCTCGAATGTTTTTTCGTCTCACAAAGGATACCACCTACTGAATGGGCAATGAAGGTCAGAAAATTTGTGGGGTTTTCTCTGAAACTGCTCCGTTGCAAAGCTAGAGCGCGAAAAAGCCAATATGCAAATACACAACGGACGGGGACGGCTTACCGCGGTCTGATCGATCCGCGTGCTCTGCGTACCTCGGAGGCACCAGACGATGCAACGCAGGGCGTGTATCGCCTCTCGCATGCTATCTAGTAGTGTAGTTAGCCCGCGTCAGACTCTGCGCGAGCTGGGAAGAGACCACGAGTGACAGCTAAAACTAAACCCAGCCCACAATTAGTGGTACGACGCATGCGTTTACTTACGCGTGCGCGTCACAGTGCGCCGAGGGTTTGCACTTCAGTGCTTTTCATTATATAGGTAGTGAGGGTCCAGGAAGAGGGTGGGGGTTGCTAAGTCCTTCACATCAAGGTATTAATGTCTTCAAGACAGTAGTGCATCTGTGCCCTTGATTCTGGAATGGCTGAGGCACACTTTTTAGGTGCTGAGTGAAAAAGCATTGGTTTTACCAATTACATCTCTTGACAAGTTGATACATACCTCTTCATTGTGGTGTAGCCATGCACAAATATTGCAAGCAGCCTGTGTGCAGTGGTGTTAGGTTGTAGCTAATTGGGCGCCAGCACCTGAGATTGTTGAACCGTGCCGGCATACACGATGAGGCAATACTGACATAATGCAGAATTTATATCAATTTCCAAATGTAGAGGTAAATCCTCCCTGTGTTTTAGGTAATGTGAGTCTTCAAGTTTTCTCTTAGCTAGATACGCCCTCCTATGCGTTTGTGATTCCACCCACTGCCACTTATAATTGTAAACAATGTTAGTCGATGGTTGATTCTGCTTTGTTAGCTACAGGATTCCCAGCTTTGAATGCTGTGTATCTGTGGCAATTGATTCTGTATGGACTGAGGTTACCATAGTAGGCACAGAGTGAAAAAACATTGGTATTTTTTGGTATTAGCTTTAAGAAATAACAGTAGCTAGGTGTCATTTTCAGTACGTGACCTGCTAAAGTTTTGACATGTTCTCATAGTATTAGCTGTAGGAAACTGGATAGATTGGAAATCTTACATATCACATTACATCATTGTTACCGAATGTGTCATGCGCACTATTGATTGTACATGTGCTGCTTGAATCATTGTGAGTCAGACACGTAGTAGGGTGAACTGGCGGTCTCTTACATTAGCTATATTAGATACGTAAAAAAGATAGTGCAGTGACAGGATTAATGTAAACTGTGTCAGGATCCACTGGAGGGAATCCTAATTACAAACAGTGACACAGAGTTGGACATTCTTTCTGTATCAGAAAGTCAGCTAAAGTCACACACACACAGAGAAATAGGTTGCAGTCAATAGTGCCATTAAGTAGTGTCCAGACATAATTCCCCCCCCCCCCATTATAGAACCTTCGAGAGACCGAGAAATCAATACAAATCAGTTGCAAATCAGTAGAAATCACGTGGAAATCTGGAAATCGGTAGAAATCAGTTAGAAATCACAGGCTTTTAGAAATCTCGTATGTCATAATGGGCCCGTGTTGGACCCCTAAAGAAGAGTTTCCTTACTGGTACGAACATGCACCACAGAACACTAAGGTGCATAATATTGTCGCCGGCGCACTCATGAGAAATCTATGCCATTGACCAAATTATACCCGGCTACAGAAACAATCTCACTTCTGTGCCTGTAAAGTAAATCTGTTAGTGGTGTGGTAATTCTTGTTCTCAGACATACTCTTCTCAAGCCTCCGTTCAATCACGTGAGCTCCAAGTTTTGGTAGGTTTGCTAGGTGGTAGGAGTCCCAAGGGAATTTCTACAAGTCTCTTGTTCCCTCCTATTTCGTATCCTGGTATTTCCACCTGAGCAAGGCCGAGCCAGCAAGGTGATGGTGTTAGTTTTGTGCAAAAACCCGGGAGCGTGTGTGCGCACACTTGGTCGGGCGGCACTATACCGCTCTTCGCGGTGTGGCAGGCTGGCGGCCGGACGGAGTGTGCGCGCGCCGAAGCAGGGTCGGCCTTGCCATGCCTTGTAGTTTGCTATAGTGAACGGAGCTATACGGAGCAGAAAAGCGACGCGCGCACGGCAACTTGATTTTTCTGATTTCCACTTTTGGCTTGATTTCCAACTGATTTCTATGGATTTCTGACCGATATTTCTACCCGTGTGACCCCTCGCCATCCCCCCAGCATTCGTTATCTCCACCCTCAGATGAATTCTGAGACTGGAACTGTTGAGCACTCCTGGAAAATTCATGTCTTTGACATAGCTTAGTGGCATGGCCCATACCTACATATCACAGCTAACAGAGGACGATCCGCTTCAGTTGAGCTCCTATCCCGCAGGGGCAGCACGTTATCGCGCAAAGAAGAAGGCGTGGCTCTCTCCGCGCCATATGGCCATAGAGATAATTATAGTATATAATTATATCAAATACGCGTTTCTTGGTTATGCGCATGCGTGCGTAATGAAAGGCGTGGTGAATCTTCGCCGAGGGCTAGGGATGCAAAGCAGGATTCGGCAATGGTTCTCTGTCATTGTTAGAAGCGACTACTACGTCCTCACCAGATTTCTCTTCCCTCTTTCGTTCACTGTCATAGCTGTGGACATAGGAGAACAGGTTTCTTGGAGCCCCGGGGATATTCTATTTGGACCATGTGCTAGTTATTTCTGGGTTGACTGTTTGCTTTGCCTTTGCTTTGCTACCTCACCTCGTTTTGACATAATATGGCTCCGCTCTTTTCCACATAAAGAGTTAGACATTGGCATGCCACAGTTCAACCCCCCTAGTCACACTATATCCCCTCTCAGTTTCTGAACAGGAGTTTGGCACAGTCAGCTAACGTTGTGAATGTGCTCGCAGCCTTTGGACTGAGCTTCATCATCGTAAAAGTCTTCAGTGGAGTTCTGGGAGAGATTCGACATGCTGGGCTTGTCCTTGTTCACGACAGACCAGGTCTGCCAGTCTCCTCTACTTTTCAAATATATTGCTCTATATAGCCTACAGGAAAGTGTTGGTTTTGACCCTCATTGCAGGAGCACTCGTAGCTCTCCTTCTCATCATCACAGGTCTGGACTAGAATAGGACTCAACTGTGATAAAGCATGTGTAATTCAACGACACTTGAAAAACACACCTTGAAGCTGCTCTGAATGGAAATAAAACAAGAACGTACTGCTGTGTAGGTAGAGCACACTGAGCTATATGGGCAGCTATGAAAAGAAGGCAGGCTAATTACAAATAATTGTATAGCAAAGTAACTATACTGTTGTCCTTTCTCTGTCTGGTGTTGGTCTCATAAGTCATAAGAGTTACCATCTTTCTGAGATATAGTCTAAGGCTAGCACACTCTATTGATGGTGTGTGTGTTGTGGCATTGTGTGGTTATTAAAGCTACACTGCCCGTTGTACTTGTACAAATAGTTGCATTTGCACAAATAAGGAGTGGGTATTCCCTTTGTATGACAGCTACTACTCAGCTGGGTGAGTGGCTATTCAGAGACCTCCATGGAGTGAGTGAGAACGTGTCTGACCTCACACGCACTGCACTCCTCATAATGTGTGCCTACCCTCTCTTTGAAGCTGTCGTGAGTTAGCTACTTTCCTCTAAATCTTTGTTGTAGCGTACGTATGTGTCATTTGCAGTCGTGGTACCATGGAGGGTTGCTGTTGCAAGTACATGCCAGTGTTCTGGTGGGAGCTGCAGCATTGGCTGACATTATCGCTCAGGTCGGAATCAACCTTCAATCAGAAAGGGCCATTCGAATATTGCCCCTCGTCTCTATTTGCAGATAATTCTGATTGCTGTGCTCCTGTATACACCACTGCTGTGCCACACACCAATAGCACTGCCGGTAGTGGCTGCCTATGGTGGAGTGCTCACTCGCTGCTCCATCCTCCTTGCTGGTTTTCACCGTAAAGTCTACCCCAAGATGAGCAAAGAGTTAACAGTACGTGTTGTGCACCTATACAATGGAGCCTCAGTATAAAGGAAAGCTGAGAACATCAAATTGTCCTCTATACAGAGTTGTCCTTTATTCAGAGGTTACACAATACCTGAAAGTTTTAGTAAGAGTGTCCTTTGAAAAGGTCCCACAGTAGTGTGTGAACCAAGCTGCACTTGCTTGGTACAGTGTGGAATAACTACCTGCTGTGTCTTTGCAGGCAAAACTAAGTGTATGGAAGATTGTTTTGTTTGTCGCTCCTCTGATGTTCACCCTCTTCATCCAGAGAATTAGCCGTCCCATCATTAACCTTATCATTGCCAGGAAATCACCCACCAAGGACGAAGCTGCACAGGTAGCTAATAGTCTTGAGCACTGCGTGTGAACACATAATTGACGTGGTAGCTACAATTTGATCAGTTAGTTTTTGCTAATGTGCCCACGGCGCATTTTGAGCGAGAATTTGTTCAGTGCTCAATAGCCGATTTGCCACTGTGACATCCATCCTTCTGCTATGTGTTACATGTACATACCCCTTGTGAATTGCCTCAATACGTCAGTGCTGCATAGAACATAGGGTTAGAGTCCAATTCTTACACACATACCACTCCTCAACAACATTCTATAACCGCCAGTTAATTAATGTTGTTGAGGAGTTGTATCTACTCACTCTGTAATCAAGTTCTGACTATTGTCAGACAGAACTTTGTAACCCTGCAGGCAGTGGCTGTACTCACTGCCTCATATCCACTGGGTCATCTTCCCTATGGCTGGCTGAACTCACTAAAGCCAGTTTCACCTGCTTTTCAAAAGGTGACTCTTTATCCGTGTTGCCTTTCACATTGGTATTATTTGTTTTATACAGAAGAGTTCTCACAGTAATAAACCACACATTGCTGGCAAGAAGATAGCTGTATTTTGTGCCTGCTGTCTTGGAGTATCAGCTGTGGTGGGTTATCATACAGTGTATGATACCAGTAATTTAAAAGCAAGAGGGAGAGAGGATGTCTGTTGTATAGGTGTCCTTTGTGGTAGGCTGGATCCCTGGAGTGTCAGTGGGAATTCTGGTGAATGTTGTGGCCATACCTCACCATCTGGCCTTGCTCTGTGTCACTCCACTACGAATCTTTGCCTTCTTTTGCTTCACCGGTACAGTGCCTTGCTCTGTCACAATCTGGTGCTTAGAAGAATTAATCTTGATTCCTTCTCTCTTGACACACAATTTGCACACACTGGTAGTGAGTATCAGAGCATCTCTCACTGGATGGCTCATTTTCAACCACCAAACTAAGCTGGTAGCTCCCAGTGGATTCATCAGACTTGCGGCCACCATATCTTCTCTCTTCATTCTACCAAAACTTGGGTTTGGGACAGCTCTCAACAGTAGAGTATATTGACAATGTCCTCTCTTCCTGTAGGCTAACTGGTGCAGACAACGGAATAGCTTCCCTCTTCTCTGGCTTTTTCACCGAGATGCTGGCTGTGGTTGTTGGTGCAACCTCATTCGCTACATACAAGGTCTGAACAGAACCTTTACTTACGGAAGCCCATAAGGTCCGCAATTGTAGGTTATGGAAACTTTCATTCTACAATCGAAACTTCACTCTACAGTGGAGATACTTCCATTCTACAATTGTAGTTCCATTCTACAAAATGCAACTTCCTTTCTAGTCCTTCATTCTACAGACTACTACTTTAATTCTCCCATTTGCCGCAGATGGCACTGTCCTGGCTGCACAGTCCACAATGACAACCTTAATATACATAATCATGTACTACCAGGGCATGAATGTAGCAGCTTTATGTGCTTAGCTAGTTAATGTTACAGTAGCCTCAACGCCGTGTATCAGTGTTCTTAGCGATAGTCTTGTGTGACGAGAACAAGCTTGCATCGTATGAGTTGTTAGACCCTCTACTCTGCTTAAAAACAGATCCTTCTATTGGCCTCGTATGGAGGTTTGCCAGGTTGCATCGTTTACACATGTGCCAAAGGAGGGTGTTTGTATAATGGAATTATTCTGTAGAATAACAGACTAGAATGGAAGTATTCTGTAGAATGGATGGGCTTCCGTATTAACTATTATTTTTCAGAAGTGCAGATGGAGAAGAGGAGAGCAGGATATCAGTCTTCTTCCTAGCAGCTCACGGGATCAAGAAATGCAAGCTGTGGAACCAGAGAGAATTGAAGAGGAAGAAAATATGGTCACCATAACTGTCAGAACAAGGACCAATATCCTGACAGAAACAAGTGAAGATACCTATCCTCTAGAAAACAGGCTATAACCAATATCTTTATCTCATTTAGAAAAGTCTGTTTTTGATATGCAACTGGGTCGATATACATGAACTCAGCTAACCTGTAGTTGAGTGGTTCGAATGGCGCGCTTTTTCTGACGTGCAAAACAAGTACAGTACAGAACAAAAAGGACTGAGGAGGAATTATAACTAAGATCTCAGGAAGTTGATAAGGGATAGAGGAAAATAGCTGAACAGAAGTAATAAAATAAGAGCCAGCTAATGAATATTGAGGGACTTTGAAGAGGGTGTAGCCGTGTAGGTTGGCACAAGTATTAAAGCCACAATTGATGAACAAATGGAGGCTTTATAATAATTTGTGCTGTGAGAATTATCTATTTTGTCAAATTTCAAGAGCATCAAGTAATCGTTGGCAGAGAGAGGAAAAAACAATGGTTTGCTACACAGAAGGCGAGATGAGGAGATTGATTGTGAACCTCCCAAGGAATCATCTCTAATGGTATACATACAATAGTTTATAACACAAACACATAGGGGGGAAATGTTATTGTTTTATTGTGCCTAAAATCCTCCCCCTCTGATAGCTAATGTATGCAGAAAGGTAGATGTGTTTATCATATCCTCTAGTGAAGTATACTGTGTTGCTCATCAGAAAGTAAGAGAGTACGAAACGCAGTGCTCCGTAATTAACCTGCCCCGCGGAAACGGGATACCTCTCTCTAGAGGGTAGGTCGTACTCGCGCGCATGCGTAATGTCGGCAAAAGGAGGAGAGTGTCGAGTATAGCGCGGCCACGCCTTCCCAATCCGCGCGCAAGAAGGCGTGGCTCCGCGAGATATGTATAGTAGTAGTAGGCGAATTCTTGGCGAGCGGGAGCGAGCACTGACATATCCGCACGAGCCTATATACTTATATACAACTTACAGCTTGGAACCATGAAGATTGGAAGCCTCGGTAAGGCCAAAGAGTGCAACGAATGCCGCCGAATGGACGAGAGTCTCTCCCTGGCTCGGCTGGCTCGGCATCGAGCTAGCGTGTAAAAATTTCGGACAACCAACGGTGTAGCTAGCCTATAGCCAAGCTAGCCAAGAGGTGGTAGCATGACACAATGGCTCCTTAGAATCACGCAATCAAGCTATAGCTGGGCATCAGCTTTATACCTAGCTAGCTCTCACAGTAGAACTCACACAGCCAAACGCACTACAGCAATGCTCTATAGCCGGCCATAGAAGCGCGTAATGTCTACGCATGCGCATTTACGCGGTCGTAATTAAATCGCGCCGTTTGGACCACTATAATTATAGGTATATACTAGGTTAGCTCGCTCCCGCTCGCCAATTATTGAACGAAGGTTGTCCGTTCCGTAGGCGTTCATTCAGTTGCATCAACTGGAAAAGAAGTTCTTCTTATCGACAAGCCTACTTATCTCGAAAACCCGGTAAGCTGAGCTAGCTAGTTAGAGACTAAATTGCAGGTTGTGTAAGAGGATGCTCTAGCTGATGTAGCTGACTTGTTTGGTATGCCTTTCTACCTAGAAATTTACACTATACATTATTAACTTGTGCTAATGATTGGGCCCTGACTATGATCAGCTGTTCGCACACCTTCAAGTTTTCACTTCAAACACTATTCACGGATACTACAGTTCGTTAAAACAAGAAACTGGCCATCAATTTTCAGTGTTATTTGCATGTGTACAATGCATGGATGCTTGGCTGCTGTTGTACATGAATTTCCCCTTCATTTCTTGTTGTCCTTGCTCTAGCTATTGTGATTCTTGAAGTGGGTTTATACCCGAGGAGTAACTTCCTCTGGGGGTGACCAGTAGGTGCATCCTAATTTAGTTTCTTGGAAACTATGCTGTGATCGCCTATTAAGGGTGAAGTTCAAGGAGTATGAGAGGAATGCATGCATGCCTAACTTCTCTTATTATAATATTAATGTAACTTCTATATTATTATTCTCTGACTATCGCTGTTCGTACTGTGGTTCAAGAAGAGCCCTTATTTTAAAGTTTTGCCATTTGGCTTTCTAATGGATTTGTCACTTTGGCTGTCCTTTACCGTGAAGTGAATGTTTCGGTAGTATTTGGTTGTATTGGTGCCCCCCGAGGAAAAAACAACCTTTTGGTGGCCAGTCATAATGTGGGAGGACATTGCTTCACACCATCCTTGTACACATAATGTTTAAAAACTATGTTAGATTAACTCCCATGCATAAAGTCTTCTGCACCTAGAGAAAAAAAAGGAGTCAGCAACAGTAACTCACTCACAGAGTCTGACCATTAACTAGAGAGATCTCAATGTTTTTCTTAGAAGCTGATTTAATAGTCCAGGCATAATTATACTCAGAAGAGTCCATACATCTAGGTTAGAAGTCCTTTTGGCATTCTATATAGGATTGTGTTGTTCCAGCTCTAAATATGATGCATGTGAGGCATCTTTTCATGTGGTTTGCTAAACCCCGCGCACCAACTAACTGCTTCCCTAACTAATTTTAGTGCATAGCTGATTTATATACCCGGGAGCTCCGTAGTAAACTTGTTTTCATGTAAAATTTTTGCATGAAAATGACAGATCACGTACTCATTACAGAAACATGAGCTTTATCTCTAGAGTTTCAACAGTATGCACAAGAGACAGAGTCTGGGTAAGCCATAGTATCGCTGTATATACGTGCGCGTAGAGTGGGCGGAGCTTTTCCGACAAGGCGGCGGACGACGAGGGAGTGCTGTAGCTTCCGCTCAGTGAACGATGCATCTTCTCTGGTTCGTAAGCTCGGCAGACCAATACTGCATTGTATAGTGCAGAAAATGCAGAGAAAGTGTTAAAATTCCCGATAGTCTATGTGTGGACTCACGAATATGCAAACTAGATAGCAACTTGCATTGTAAGTGAATGCCATCCTGCTTACACGTTACACACAAACCTGTTTCTTTCCAGAGGGAAGATAATGCTGAGTATACACTGCAGCCTGAGGTAGATTGTTGTTGGGGCTGTAACAGGCTTGCATAGCGGCTAGCACAATCAAACTCAGAATGCCGAAAATGTATGCCTATGCCCACACTTTGCCATGGTGTCTTTTATATATATCACCCACCTTATAAATAGATAATGTACCATCGGCAATTTGCAATGGCATTCACTGTAGCTACTCTATAACAAAATATTGCTGCAACATGGAAACAGCCTTCCCCCAGCCAGAATGATGCAATTGCACTGATATAGAAGCTATTATAGCTACTAATATATAGGAGCCCACCCAGCCATGTATGTGCAGTTAGCTACCAAAATCTCTCTAGACTCATTCAAGCATTGCCAAGGAGTGTGTGTGTATGTTAACTTGAAGAGTTATACCCTTCTGCTGGCAGTAAGCTAGCTCAATCTTCACCAAAACACATGATCTGATCATGTCACAAAGCATCATCTTGAATGAAATCGCTATGAAAGGTTTTTCCACATTTAATGCAGCACATGTTGCATTTTGGTAACTCAATCTTTCATGATCAAATAAACTCACTGCATCCTAACTATGTCCTTCCTCACTGTATCTTAGCTATGTCCTTCCACCTTCCAAAAACACAACAGCATGTGAAATTATAACGTAATTTCTTTGCAGTTTTCCACAATGGCAGTAACAAGTTCTGCACACACACTTCTGCTCCTGCTGCTCACAATCTGTTGTGATGCTACACAATCTCAGTCACTATGTGAAAGTGAAACCTGCCATATTTCTCCAGATAAATTCTGGCAACTTAAAGATATTATCAGGTCAAACAGACTCATCGTATTGAATGGAATGGAATTCAGTGTAGATGACACATATGACTTCATAGTCATTGAGAATGTGTCCAACTTGACGCTATCTGGTGGAGAAAATAGCAGTCTTATCGAGTGCTCATCTAACTCCAGCTTTGGCCTCCACCTCAAGAATGCACCAACGTCACACTGACCCGAACAGGATGAGAAACTGCGGTTTTTCCCGTTGGCACACTCTGTTACATCACTTTATATTGAGACTTCAACAATATACTCCTAATAGGAGTTCACATCGAATATTCTCAACAAATACCCAGGGAGTTGCCAGTTGTTCTCAATAACCTTCAACCAGAACAAGGCCGGTATAGCCGGCAATGCCATCTATGGAGATAAGACATCAGCCTGCGTACCCAAAAGTGGAGATGACTTCTGTGACAGATGCCAACTCTCAAACACCACAGATATCTATCAATACAATGGAGTGAACGACTCCTCAGATCTCTCCAATTTCACCTCTGACCCCACCAGAGTCTGTTTCTGTGAGAGAGGCATTCCAGACTGCTACAAGGTCATGAAAAACATTACAGTCCACCCTGGAGAAAAGTTTCACTTGTCTCTAGCTACAGTGGGGTATGGTCTGGGCACTGTGCCTGGGTCAGTAATTGCCAGGGGCAATGGGAATGTATCTGAGGATCAATTATTTGGAAATACATTGGAAAATATTCAGGAGATTAGAACTAATGAATGTACGAATGTGGGGTACTCGATTATTTCCAAGAAAGGCAGGGAGCAGATTTTCCTGGCAGTGGACACACAGTCATTCATCAGATCAGGGGGAAAATGTGCAGTCAAGTAATCTCTTGAACAATGACCTTATCTTGGATTCTTCCTATAGCTCAATGTTAGAGGCATTCTTTCACATCCCAGTAACTGTGGAAGTTAATCTCTTGCCATGTCCCGTTGGTTTCCAATTAGTCACAAGAAAATGTGTCTGTCACCAGATACTGGTGGACAACAACATTGACACTTGCTCATTCTCCAATGGCACAGCTCTCATCCCAAGACCTGCCCCCTACTGGATTGGGCTGCCCAGTGACAGAAACTCATCCATCCTTGTCCATCCCTATTGCCCCTTTGATTACTGCCAATCAGAAGACATGAACATCACTGCAGAGTCACCGGACACTCAGTGCCAGTACCGGCGATCAGGAGTCCTCTGCGGCCACTGTACTGAAGGCCTCAGCATGATCCTGGGATCCTCAGAGTGCAAGTCCTGCTCCAATCTCTTCCTCTTGCTGATCAGCGTCTTCATTCTGATGGGCGTTGTTCTTGTTGCCATGCTTACATTGCTAAATATGACAGTGTCAGTTGGTACTCTGAATGGACTAATTCTCTTTGCCAATGTCTTGCAAGCTAACAAAACCACATTTCTACCACCAACTACATGCGACACCAGTGCCATCATTGCATTCCTAAGTGCCTTCATAGCATGGCTGAACCTGGATCTAGGCATTCCCATGTGCTTCTTTGATGGACTCACAACCTATGTTAAAACATGGCTACAGTTTGTGTTTCCTCTCTACATTTTGGCCCTAGTTGGTGTCATAATCATGGTCAGCAAATACTCCCCACGAGTGACTCGGCTCCTAGGGACAAATG